ATCATGTCTCTTGCCAGGAGGCCTGGTGTTGTGTAGACTGACCCAAGATCAAAACCCCCAACATTTTGCTGATGGCAGCAGACTCAGAACCAGTTATTTATCTGCTGTGTCTTCCTGTTTTCTCCCTCATTATTTCCTGCAACTGGAGGGATAAAGAAGAACAGTACTGTTCCTGATTCCTTAGCCAGTTAGCCCAAGGCCTTTAAGTCTCTTTTGATTGCCCTTGACCTTCTGACTGCAACTTCATCACTGCCCATGGGAAAAACCTTACTTAGTAAGGTTTTGGTTCATGTGTTTCATATTTGGAAATTCTATGTCATATACTTGCTTCCTGATAAATGTAATTACCACAGGAAAATCGTATAGCTTAGTGTCTGTTAAACAGGACTCCAGTTGTCAGATTCTTCTGGTGATGTTATCATTACACCAGTGGTTTAGAGAGTGACACTACAGAGCTGGAGCCTTTTAAAAAGACTAATGCATCTGGACATAAAATCTGGTTTAAGGGGATTCCCTGGGTGGTGCAGAGCTGGAGAAATTGCTCTGTGTCACAGCCTGGCAATGAAGCCATGGGCCTGCTAAGAAGAGTAGGTGGCCAGAGGACAGGGTGCTAGGGTTATTTCTGGTGAGGAAACACTGCCTCGAGACAACACAACCCTGGGAGAGTGAGAGAAACACATCACACGTGAGACAGTTTGCATTCGTCCATGTTCGTCAAGTTGAACAAGAAACTGAGCAACAGCATTGTAACTGGTCTACCTGAACATACCAGCTTAAGCTTTCAAGAACAAAAAAATCACTAGTCTAGCTTGCATAGGATATGGTCTTCCTCATTCCTACAAAGACCAATGCAACTTCAAGTGATTGCTACCAGACTGCCAACTACCCCAAACTGGAATATTACAGAGCCAGACTCAAGGCTTCTGTTTCACATGCTCCATGTGTGTGTGGATTAGCAGTGGGTAGGGCTTGATATTGGCTGCTAACAGCATTATGAAAGTATCAGCTAGCTTCTGTAAGACCAAAAAGTCTTTTGCAGCTGTGATTGGTTGACATAATCATTCACAAGTGCTGGATTTTTTTCAAAAGTCTTATGCCATCTTCTAGCAATGACTTTACAATACAATTTAAAAGTTATCGAAAATATACAGCAGGGTGTTTATGAATTCTTTGCCTGTCACTTGTCTTCTCTGAAATGTACATATTGCTGTGCAGATTTTCTTGCTGGCCTCTGAATTTGTGCCTTCTTACTGCTCACTCTACAGTAATTTAAATCTGGACAATCTAGGTCTCCTACATAGAAGTACAAACAAGCCCATCTCTTTCTCACTCCCAGACAGGTAATACTCTGCTTATAACAAGAATAATCACCAGTTTTATTAAATACTTTAATTAAGGAATTATATTAAAAAGCCGTAAGACATTAAGTGACTAGTTGTCTCCAGAAGTCACTCTCCAGCAGAAGCAGCAGATATTTTGACTTATCTAAAGGGATGTGATATAACTCTGGTAGTCTATTACTCCCTGGAAATGAGAAGACTCTCTGTTTCTGTAGGAAGAATATCTGCACTGGGCCTATGAATGGCCTGAAAATAAAAAACCATGGCTAGAGTTTTGATTTCCTTTTATCTTTCAGTAGCATTTTATGTCACTGTATTAAAATGTTACTATCTACAGTTTGAGACCAGGAAGTGTGAGGGATGTTCTCTAAAAATCTCCCTCCAGACTAATAGTATTCCTTTGCCTAGTATGGTCTGTTTCCCCAGAAACACAATTTGACAGTATTTGGAGCTTTACTTACAGACAAAGAATTGTTGATATGATTTCATTATTATTCTTAAAACTGCAGTATTTCATGCTGTATCTTTCAACCTAGAGACCAATCAGCATTAAGGAGCACTCTGTTTTCATGAATGCAGTTGCTCTCTTTGTAGTTGACCAAGAAACCAACAGAATAAGGAACCTTTGCATGCCAGTCTGCCACCGCAAAATCAGATCAGCATTTTTGATATTGTCACAAGAACAGATGCTGTCTAGTATTTTTCATATAATCAGTTAAAGAACTCCTTTAATTATAAAAAAAAACTCTGATTTTGAAGTGAAATTGAGCATAACATACCTATTTATCTAGTGACAAGTTATATGTACAAATGACTAACCAGAAACTATCCCAAAGTTTGTACTCAAGTCTTTCTTTTTGAGACTAACAGTTAACAAGTTCCTGAGGTAAGATACGTGCTGGCTGAGAACAAAACAATAATTAAAAAATTACCAGGAAAAAATTCTTCCCCATTCCTGAATTAATTCTATTGACATTCATTTAACGAATTCTGTTTACTTGCCAGAAAATTAAACAAATAATGGGCACTGCTTTAGCAAACCACCAGCTGGCTCAAGTGTTTTTAATGGATTAATCTTCCTTTTTATTAATGTAAGACAGAATAAAAAGGAGATCTTGCAACGAGTAATGACATCTGTGAGCTCCTTCTGTGTGTTCTGCATTGGCAAAACACTGCCAGGGACTATAGTGAGGGACAGGGTTGCCATGCAGCCCAGCAAAACAGCCCCCTGAAAAGACACGCTGACCCACTTTCAACTACCAGCTCTTGCTGACCCTTTGTTGAGTGAGAGGTTCTTCCAAGTTTTTGTTTTTTTTTCACCCTTTCAGTTCTCATTTCTAAAGAAGCAAATCTGTCTCTCTCTTTCTTCTTGTTTTCTTCTTTCTTCTCCAGTATGCATGGAAGAAAGGCAGATTGTTTCTTGTGACTGTCTTTGCTTTAGTTAACTTAAAAAATAAAAACATCTTCCACCCCCTTCCCTTGTTAGGAACATGTTGTGGAAGAAATATAGATCTTGCCACCTACAAAATTATGACACAATTTCTTAAGGAACTCAGTCTGATAAGAATAAGTAATTATCAAAAAATACTTTAATTGTTACTCCTGGCAACAGTGAAGGATAATAGTGTAATATTATACTAAATATTGCCACATGAAATAGTAAAAAAAACCTGTTTCATTCTTGCTAGCAGAGGTGTGCAAAACCCCCTTTTGAATTCAGGTTTGGATGTTTGGATTTAATCTAAATCTTTTTCTTGTCCTTCTTCCAAAACCAACAGAGGTGTAAAGAGAGCTGCATTTTTATTGGAACTATTTGCTCAGCCTAAGTTGCCAAAATAATTTAGTTAAAACTAGTGCTTTTATTGGGATTCCTGGGCTCCACAGA